ATTCTTACTGTGCATAATCTCGAAAATCATGGAAACTCTTGTAAACAGACACATCGTAAACTGCTTTGAGGACCACCATCTGCTCACGTCGCACCAGTTTGGATTTCGCGGAGGCCTCGGAACATCAGACACTTTGCAAGCTCTCCAAACTGCCTGGGCAAGCGCTGTGGGCTGTGGAGGGCGGCGCGTATCCTTGCTGTGGACATCAGAGGAGCGTTCGATCGTGTCTCACATGTCGGCCTCCTCCACAAGATGCGTAGCCTATGCATCAGAGATGGCTGAGATGGCTGGCCTCGTCCCTCGACACCCGTTCCTTACAGTGCCTCGTTGGAGGCGTACGTCATCTACGTACACGACCACCGCTGGAGTCCCCGAGGGAAGCATTCTTGGACCAACACTTTTCCAGGCGTACGTCAACGACACGCCAGATGTTCTCGCTGACATCAACAGCCACAGCAGCCCCTGGGGCATGAAATCGTTTCCGTCGTTCCCCTGCGCAGTTGTAGGTTCTTTTACGTCCAATTCCCTGCTCTCCCAGGGAGAGTATGACTACCATATAATTTGGTATTCTGGATAGGTAGGGGCAGAAAGTTTAGCATGGGCCAAAAATGTGAACTTGGCCAGCCTCCGCCGAGTTCAGCTTGTCGGAGCACTCCGGGAAAAAAATCCAGCCAAATGATCGAGTAGCATTACAGACTGGACTACCAATGGACTCTCAAGCCGCCAGCATCAGGATGCTTACGATCATGAATCAGCTGAGGGAGACAGTGCGTCTTCTTGTGGAAGATATTGCGGACCTGAAAAGTCTCACAGCCTCCAAAGAACAGAAAAAGGAAGCCACCATTGCGGACTTTTGAGAGGAGATTCGAGCTCTCCAGGAAAAGAAAGTCTAATCCCAACGTGAAAGGAATAATCATCGGAGCCAGCTGCAGTACCTGCTAGGGGGGATTCCTACGCATCCCGGATAGCCATTGAAGCACCAAGAGAGTCCCCAGCCCCCCCCCCCTCCCCCCAGTCCGCCTTCTAGGCTGCGTTCGTTTTTGGCTTCCTGGTAGAGTAGAATCACTCTACTGATGGAGGAAGACGGTAGAGGTTCAGGGGTTTTAAGTCGGGCCCTAGACGACGGCTACAAAGGCCAACTGGACAACAAAGAAGGTGACGCCTATGAGAATGTTTTATGATCTTGCGCATGCTTACAATGTGATAGTGACGTCAGTTTGCTACAGTACTCTCCCGTCATTGGTGAGGCCGGGAGGCGCGAAGCACGATAAACAAGAAAAATAGAGAGAAAAGAAAGCGCGGCATGTACAAGGCGGAAAGGCAAAAATAGAATACAATATGTACAAGAGAGTGCTGCGTGTATGAAGTTTGTTGATAATGTGGCAACAAAGACCAAAACTAAACTCAGAAAGCAGAAAGTGGAAAAGAGAGAGATGCATGACAGAGGCGTGTGTCAGAGTTGGAAAGAAAGTTTGGGTACGAGGTGGCCAACGCAGAACAGCATGAATGCCCGATTTACTGATCTTAGTGAGTGTTGTGAACCCTCTGGTTCTCTTAAGTATAAGGAACAAACGACCACACGGCACGAGGACAACTATTCACTCTCAACAGTATAAAACTTATTGACTTCGATCGACTAACAATAATGAATAACTAACACTTAAACCACCAGGTAGTTATAACGTGAAAATCACTGCGTATATGAGAAAAGCATACACATACAACATACAACTACAGCGCACACAGCAAACCGCACATAGAACCTGTAGCGTATACCTCGTCGTAAACATCAGTGGTACGGCGGAGTCAGGATACAACTGCATTGAAACGAACACAATGTCACAAGCGAGAAGGCCTTTCACTCTTGATAACTTGTGGTTTCCCTAGTTCTCGCACCGAACACAGGCGGCACTACAGCAGAAGATGCCACTCGCTATTCTGCAGGTGCACTTGTGATGGGCGCACGCAAGTTCATGAGCAGGAACAAGTCTGATGGTGACTGGAATGCCAGCAATATGAGAGGATGTGCATTCTGCGGCGGATCTCCCCTGGACAAGATCTGCACGAAATACGCAACAGTCGCACAGCGGAAAGAACAACTGATTGAACAGGAGCGTTGATTTGTTTGTTTGCAAACAGGGCACAGGTTAACTCAGTGCAAGACCACCCACAAGTGTAATGTGTGTTCTCGCATGGGTCAACATCATGTCACGATCTGCCCTGAATCTCAACAGAAATCTGGCAACAGTACCAACCTGGTAGCTGATCAACCTGTGGCTGACGAGGCACCAGCATCTAGCACAACAACGGCTAGTGCAGCATCAACCAGTGTCGTCATAGCTGCTGACACAGCAGCCCCTCAAACGCAGCCCACTGCTGCACTTCAGTCGTCTATCGCAAGTGGTGATGTTTACCTGCAAACAGCGAGAGTTCAGATTGAGAGTGCAGAGGGCTCCAGAGTCATGGCGACAGTTCTCTTCGATTCTGCCAGTCACCGCTCTGATTATCTGACAGAAAAGTTGGCAGACACCATTCCAGCAGGTGCGGCACGCTATGAGTGGCTCTCTTTATCTACCTTCGGTCATACAAGGAAGACACAACGGATGGTCCTAATTGTGGGTCTTGGTCTGCGATTGAAGGATGGCTCATCCAAACAAATCGAAAGCCAGTGTGTTGCCACATATCACCAACACTATCTCTCAGCAGGGTATCCCAGCATCCCACTCCGAGAACTGGGTACAGACAACTTGGCTGGGACTCCGTGTCGTCACATTCGCGCCGTCCACGGCGGATCAAAGCCAAGCTCAATGGCAACTGATCGGTCGCTCGCCTCTTTGGCAGACGTCGCGACATGGCAAACTACACGACAAACACAAACATTATCTTCGGGACGGAGAAAACCTACACTCCAGCAGGCGCGAAATAAAACAAAACGACAAGGAAGGTAAGGAGGACAAGTGGCAGTTTTTCCACCTTTTACTTGTTGCACCACCACTTGAACTGTAGATCGTTTCAAGTCACATGATACGCGTACAGACACTTCGATTCGAACGGTAAGGGTACAACAGTCCCGACCACTGCATATGCGCATGCATGCAGTGACCTAGTACCTGCACTGCCTGTACATGACACTGGCATGCATGCAGGATGCATGCCAGTGAAGTAGTCTACTAGTACTAGCTGCTGGCTACGCGGTACGCTACACTTCGCTGGCTGCGCACGTGGATACCACAAAAAAATCGACTGGACCCATGGTCGAAATTATTTTATGGGGTCCGTCCGAACCCCCTGAACCCCCCCACCCCCCCCCCCCCCCCCCTGTGTCCGCCCCTGAGTACACCCAGTCTGATGCCCGTGGAGATCAACAACCAGCGCAGAGGGGACGCTTTGCAAAAACGAATTGTACAAGGCGAACGCCAAACTCCTACTGTACACCTTTATGCATGACATTGTGATAGACTAGTTGACTACAAAACAAGTTGTTTCACACGACGTACGCTTCGCCGTATGGTTCATGGCAGCTCATCAGGTGTGCAATTTGAAACTCGGATATTGCGCCAATAATAAATGTAGAAAGGACGAAGGACATATGGAAACGAGTTAAGAGTAACTCTCCACCACTGTAAATAGACACTAATTCGTTTTCGCAAAGCATCCCCCTTCTGCATTAATCTTTGATATTTCTCAGCCACCCAAGTTGAGTGGTGTGCTGCTTTGCTGCTTCGAATTGTAGTGAGACTGCTTTGTCAAATATTCTACTTGTCTCGTCATCGTCCAGTAACAAACGATACTCTTTGTTCCGTTGGGACTGTAGCTTGTGCTAATTTTCGTCGCACTTATCTTCCCCTCTTTGGTCTCTCCTTAACCTTGAACCTTCCGAGTTGGAATGCTACGGAAATGTGTTGAAGCTAGATGACAGGACGTCGAATGTCTCAGTACTCTGTCAGTTTTGTGCCTAGTTGTTGCACTTATAAATACAGCCTCTGTGCTACGCGTCCGAGTCCACAATGGAGGAAACAGTTCCGCAAGCAGATTAATTAATTACACGTTATAGTTACGGGGGAGGTTGGAATCCGCGAGCGGCAAAAAATAATAATATTTCATGATATCTACCCCAAACATGCACAGAAGGATGCTCAAAGGACTAGTTTTAAATTGAGGAATGAGCCACCTTAAAGCTTGCGAGAGGGCCGCAAGTTATGAGAACTCGGAGACTCTCACGTTTCTCTTCCAACAAATGCAGTGTACAAGGCCTTGAACTTACTACGATGGACTTACTGAACACAGCATCCACTGGTTCACATGCACTAAGCACAATTCACTTTTGTCCCAGTGCAGTGTCGTTGAAAACAGAATTCAGGTTTTGCAAATGTGCATGGCAACTACGAATACGGCCGGTAGCTTGGCGTACGGGTGTGTTCGCGTACACATGCGTGGATCATGGAATCAAGGGAAAAATGTGTACCTGGCAAAACATGTGTACATTGCAAAAAAATGTGTACCTGACGGATTCGGAGCGTGCTACGAATGAAGAGGCTTCCATTCGTGAAAACGAGCTCTCCGCGGGGACTCTGACGAATCCTCGAACACAGGTGACGAATCAGCATTCGTTTTGTATCCGTACGCGTGGTGCAAAAGGTCCCTATTATCCGTCCGATATCAACTGATCATCACACAACGAGATGCCACCAGGTATTGGCGGATATTGCTCGAAAAGGTGGCAGATTCTACTCGAAAAGCAATGAAATTGGAAGAACGATACAAACCTAATGGCGGGCAATTCCTCGAATTCTGCTCCATTCCTTTATCCACTTACAAAACATACATGAAACTTACCAGAAAAAGTACCGAATTCTGCCAATTATTCTACTGGTATTATCCGCGTTTTGCCTAGATGCCACATCCCGAAATCCCATTCGCCACATCCTAAAAGAAGAGAACTACGCCAACAAAAACGCCTTTTTACGATACACGCACAACAAGACTTACAGAAATTCTAATTCGGTTGTCGCATTGAACAGCTCGGCTGGTAGGTAAACAATATCATTTTTCCTCAAACTCCTGGGAGAACAAAGCAGATTTTTGATAGGATGTAAATCACCTCCTAGAAGAATCTCTTTATACCGTGCTATATGCATTTGCACCTCTCAAAAGAACAGAACTACTCAAACAAATCTCTTTTCCAATACATGCACACCATGACTTACAGGATTCGTAATTTGGTTGTAGTGTTGCCCGGCAGGTAGGTGAACAAGTTGATTACCGGTCAAATCTCTAGGACAACAAAGTAGAATTTTGATAGGATGTGTATCACTTCCTGGAAGAATATCTTTTTATTCTATTTTGCGTACTAGTTTGTAGTTGGAGCGTGGGTTACAATGAGGGCTGTGTCCCACCCGCCTATGTAGATTCACACAAAGTGTGAGCTACGAAGTCTGAAGAAAATGTTGAAGGCTGAATTCGTCGGGAATGGATGTGTTAGTGCCTCTACAGCGTGCAAGTAAATGTACATCTATGGAGGTGCACGTCTGGATGTGCAGCGAAGGCTCTCTAACGTAGGGCTCTCTAACGTAAGGTTGCAGCTTTTGGCTGTTGTGCAGCGTGGCTTTGCGTTGTGAGAACTAACTACTTGCACTGTATCCCTATTGTACTTGTACTTCCTGTGAAATATCCGTCTTTTCTTTTCTCTTTTTATTCTCTTTACCAGGCTTGGGCCATCCCCTGGACTATCAAAATGGGTGCCTTATTATTTTTCTGTTTCTGTTTTAATGACAGTTCATTGCAGATTACAATAAAATCACATCTATACTGTGATTTCAAGTACTGCTTTGAGCCGAATTCTGCCTTTTAAGCTGATAATATGGCCGAATTTGGACATTCTCATAGCCAATCGAAAAGCCGATTAGGCGCAAAATTGGGCCGATTTGGGAAATGCCTAGCTGGTGCTCATGGTCAATGACACTACCGTGCTCGCTGAGAGTTCTGGGGTTGGTCAAGGGGATATTACGCTGTGGCAAACAGAGAGCAGATTCGGAGGACCAGGCAAGCAGTGCAGCTTGTACGGGCAGGCAAGCGGGGCAACAGTACAGCGGGTGGCTAGCATGGTTAGATGTCCACCAGGGCCGATAGTACCCAGTGCGTGGCGCTGAACATTGTTCAAGCGCTGGAGGTGACTCTGCACAGCTCCCATCCACAAAAGAGGCGAATACTCCATGACTGGTGGTACGAACGCCTTATACACGGTCGTCCTGCCGGCGCAGGTGAGGATGTGGGCGGCTCTGTTTACGACCCCAAGCTGTTGGCGTCTACGGGTGGCTACGGAGCGTAGTTATTTTGTAATTATCATTTAAAGGGGTCAGCCTACCCATAAATTTCATATGGCATTCAATCGACAGTAACTTTGGTGTCCCTCAATGGATTTGAGTTAAAATTTGACCGCAGACTCCTGCCACTATTCTGGCCCTCTGGACATGAGTTAAAAGTTCTTACACCTCGCTCACAGACTTTCCACGCCAAAATTTACAATTTTTCAACATTTTCGTGCCCATTCTGTCCGTGCGCGGGATCCAAACCTAAAACAAGTCCAGAAGCAGCCATGGGCGGTGGGGTAGGGCCCCTCGACGGGGCCCTGGAATCTGTTACAACTGCAGGGATTGATTTATCCGGGTTCGCATCGCAGTTTGCGAATCAAAATTCACTGGTTGCGATTCGCTTTTCGTTTTTTATCGCCCAAAACTGCGATGCACTGCACTACAAAGACCAGTTGTGTGCAGTATACATGCGACTGTTGTACACACTGCTGACTAGGGTCCAGGAGTAGTATTTTACTACTCCAACCAACTGGCCTGTCCTGCTCAGTCCACGCGGGTCGCGGACTCGCGGATCGCACTCTTTTGATTTTGGACACTGCACTAGCACTGGTCGTACATGACTGCAGTCTTCTCAAGTTTTGTACACGGCGATTCGTTTCGATGAAGAAAAGGAGAAAAGCGAAATTCGATGTGCTTTGCACGAAATGTCACGATCGTTTGAGCGCTTTCTTTGTCGAAGGAATCAGTGGAACTGCCCTGTTGAAAGACATTGTGTTGTGAAGAACTCGAAGACGGATGGACGCTGAACATGTAACGTGCCCAAGCGAAAACTCTAACGTAAATATTCAGGTCGAACATTCGCTTGGAAAAGCAAATAGCAACTGCAGCTATTGTCCTCTTCTGTACAAAATCCTGCTATTGTACAGCTATACATGTAAACTTTTGATGAAGGAAAACTGCTGATCAATACTGGGAGTTGCTAGTCAATTGTAAAACTGTGTAGCAGTGACTGTTTTGCAAAAAATCAAAGTAAATCGATCCCTGAACTGAACGAGTGGGCGTTCTCTCACAGATCCCAACAAACCCAAGTCAATTTAGATATTTTTAGGTTTAGCACGTGCTACGAGGTGGTACCTTTGATACAACATCTAGCACTTGGACCTCCACAGCAAGCCATTTCCACAGCGCTGCACACCAAATCCAAGATACCCTCAAAAAATGGCAAAGACTACCACTCGCGTTCCACTACTGCCTAGTACTGAATCCTACCTGACTTCTTGACACGACTCAAACTTGCCAAAGTCACTAAATCAACGTCAACTACAATAATCAAGCCACATATCTGCAACGTCACACACGAGGGTGCCCGCCGCTGTCCAGCCCAATACTTGGCTAAAAACGTGTTTTTGGACTTGGAGCAAAATTCTGCACACTTCCGCGTGTTTCCATGATACGACAAATTGCGCACGGTCTGCTCACATTCAAATACAGTGCTGCCAAAAACTGACAGCGAGCATAAAAAACATCTTTCCTTGCAAGGGCACACTTTCGGCAATAACTCTTGAACGGCTGGTCAGATCGAGACAAAATTTTCAGAGATTTTGCAGCTATTCATGCTCTTTCAACTGACGTAGTGTAGCGTATAGCATGTCTCCGTTCGATAGCGTATCCCCGTACATTAGCATATGGAGTCTGCCTGTGCATTAAAGCTGCTGTTCACGATTCTTTTGAGCCAGTTAATGTCATTGCCAGTTATAGTTACATTTCAATTGCCAGGTACAGTGTGTTCACTGAGACCCTTGTGCATTCTTGCCTCCGAGAGACTGCGGCCCGCTACAAATTGGTGGCAGCGGTAAATTCGTTTTGTTTCATTCTATACCTAACTTTGTTACTTTACACATTCTCCGATCCGATGGCCCAACCAAATGTACCTGCTGTGGTACCCGTCGCTGCGCTCGCTGCAGCTCCAGCTCCGCCCGCTCCTGCTCAACCACCGAGAGGGGCGTACCATGTGCAGCCAAAAAAATACAAGGGTCGCCGGGAGATCAACTTCGCGCCCTGGCTGATGCATTTCGATCAGGTGGCCGCGGTAAACAACTGGAACCCCGCTCAGCAGACGCAGTTCCTGGGTCTCGCACTGGAAGGCGAGGCCCAGCTGTATTACCAATCGCTCCGAGCGGCCACTAGGAACGGAGGCCGCCAACAGCTAGTCCAGGCGCTGCAAGCTCGGTTTGATCCAGCGCAACGCGTTGACCTCCATCGCGCAACGTTTCAAGCTCGTCGCCAGGCCAAAGACGAACAACTGGGTACTTTCTGTGAGGCGGTTCGCTCCCCGGCCCGGCAAGCTTACCTCCAGATGGCCACGGGGTACCTCGACAGCCTGACAAAAGACCAGTTTATCTCCGGGCTTGACTCACGGGGCATGCGGGTCCGCGTTCGGGAGCTAAACCCGCAAACGACAGACGGGGCCCTCCAGGCTGAGTGAGCTGTCTGAGTGTGAGAGGCTGAATGAGCCGTATGAGGAGCCTGGTAACGAGGTTGACTCCCCAAATAGAGAACCTCCTATTCACTGTTAACCTTTTGAGCACGACGCTACCTGAATGCCGCCCCACGTCAACACCTGCAAAAATCGCGTTTTTCCTATGAAAGTAGTAGCTGTTCAAGGATCGATAACTTTACCTTTCTTTGGACGAATTCCACGATCTTGAGCTTCCTGCAAAGGTCTTGAGGCGAGGAACAAAATAGTTCCAAGCTTAGCTCGGAGCGACACCAAAAGCCCATGCTACAGTCTGGCAAACTTCACGCACGCGCTCGACAGACTTGAGCACGGCCAGGGGATCAAATCCTCAGCTGCCATTTCACTCTCCTTGCTCGTATCGAGCTCAAATTTTTTTGAGAACTCCCCAGATCCGCTGCCATCATTTGAATCTAGTTTCCATGGCAGCAGATAGCGCGAAAATGATCGAAAATGGAAAATACGCGTTCTGCAGAGTTCGCAAAAAAATCGATTTGAATTTGCCGTGTCGAGTTGCATATCTCAACAACCCGGGGTCGTATCGCTTCGGCGATTGTTTCTATCGCAAGCTGAGAGTTTTCTCTTGCAGATACATATTTCGATCGTGAGAATCGGCCAAGAATTGACCGAGTTACGATAGTTTGAACTCACGCGGTTCATGCAAATCGCGTTTGTACGCTATGTACACTCACGACGTAATAATACGTCATGCGTGGGTGCAGTGACACTGTACGTGACGTATTAATACGTCATGCGTGCTCAAAGGGTTAACTGTAGAGGGGGTGCCACAGATTGTGGACAACACAGTAAGATCGGGCGCCGAAGAACACCTCGCCGAAGAACACCCAGGCTGGACAACCCGCAAAATTTAAGAACAGTCCAGGCTAGAATTATCAGATTTAAGAACACACTACATTGTACATGTATGGGAGGTGAGTACATGTCACGTACACGTGTAAACAGTAACTGCTACATGTACATTCATTCCCAATTACGACACCCACTAGTTTAGAAGTACTACATTGCACTACATGTACATGTACATGACAAACGTCATGACGTCACTCGACTCGCCGTGCGCGGGTGAATAAGAACGGTCGGGCTAGAATCAAAAATTAAAGAACTTTCCTAGGCTGCGCTCGAGCCCCTGCTTTCTTCGGCGCCCGATCTTACTGTAGTAGAGTGATATTGCGTTACTGAGTGTACTTCCTCCGCGTCATCGAAATTGTCGCAGTTTAACTATTGACTTGTCACTTGTTACTGACAACTCCATAACCTAAACCATTCAAAACTTATTACACAGTATGATAGTCTGAAGACTAGAGTAACGTTCCAGGACAGTTGGACTGAGAGTTTTCATGCAGAGATGAAGTCCTCGTCGTCCCTGATGTCAATGGACGCAAAATTATCGTTCCGAAATATTTCAAGGAAGGTTCAAAGTTGGTCGC